CGGTCTTCTTTCAATAATCCCATCTTTTGATTATTCATGAATAATCCAACCTTTGCACGTCATCTTCATTCACTGGTCCCTGACCGGTTGATGACCTGCTATTCCAAGCTATTTTCTTATCTTTGCAAATCATTATACCATAAATCTCATCTTTCACAAAGATAATATTTTGGAAAGATAAGAAAATAACTTGAAATAGTAGGTCATTAAACGACCAGGAACCAATGAATGAAGATGAGGTGCAAAGGTTGGATTATTCATGAATAATCAAAAGGTGGGATTATTGAAAGAAGACCGCTAAAAGGTTGGATTATTAGTTTCCATTTTCCCAAAAGATAAAAGAGCATAAGAAAGATTAAAAAAAAAAATAACATGATTTATTTTGACGTGGGAATGGATTAGACATTCTACCCGTTGTAGTTTAACAAAAAATGATATGCATCGCACAAAAATGTTTTTAGTAGTTGAAGTTTAAATAGTTGTTTTAGTATTGTTTGTCAGCCTATGTTAGTTGTATTTAATTAAAACTGTATATAATACTCACATATAGAATGGTTACAAGGAAGAATGGTTTTAATACTCACTATTAAAACTCAAGGAAGAAGGTAAAGCGCGCCAATTTCTATTTCATAAATATAGAATGGTTACAACACACCCTTATCGAGCCCGGGATTAGTCTAAGCTGAGAGTTTACAGAAAGACACTAAGCTATTAAATGCAAGTTCGCCAACGCTTTACAATGAAATAAATGTGAGTATTTATACTACAAGGTAGTAGGTGGGGGAGGTGACGCGGCGTGCCCTGATTAGCTAATCCCCAACCATAAAATCCTCCATATCTTGTGAATTAAATGTTCTCCCTTTTCAATTTGTGGTTTCCAGCCAATTTCTTGGCAGAGGATATCGGATATCCTATTGCGAGAAAGCTACAAGTGTTCCATCCCGTCCAGAAAGGTACATCGCGAGCGAGATGGGTAACTTGACCCAGTTGGTCATCCCGAACGTGAGTGCCGAGCCCATCATGCTGATTGGGCTACAAACGGTATTTGGGCCTGCCCGTCATTGGATCTGATACCCCAACACCTTTCTATCCCAATTTGCACAACCTATGTAGTTTGACTAAGGCATTTGAACATACTTGGAACCAGCTCAAAATAACTTTCAGGAATTTTAACGTCAGCAAAATGTCATATTTTTACCTTTTAATAAAATCGTTTATTTAATATATGTCAATATATATTTTCATTGGGTGCATGATGTACAGTGGGTCTTTGTCATTATTCAAATTGAACTTTATTTTCTTAAAAAGTAATTCAATTAAAATTTATTATTAAGATACTCCTGTTTTGTCTTTAAGTTTAATTTTTTTAAATTAATGTTGTAGTTACTGTGTGAGGGGAAATTATTCAGAGGGCATTAAAGTGATTCACCAAGTCTGCGGTATAAGATAGCAGCCAACCAAACAAAATAATGTGATACTCCCTTCATCTTAACCAAACTCAAATGGTACACAAATTAATTAAATACATTTGCTAACATACCCAGAACTTCTCCAAGGTAATCTAACATTTCTTGAACTGGACATGACCTTATAGTTTTAGCCTCTAGGAAGCTTTAAAAAAAGATAAGATGGCTGTAAATTTGTAACCTTGTACTTCCTCTTTCCCTGTATTTTCTGTGGGCAACTCAGTGGATTGTGGAAGAAGTTACTTCTCTCCGGCCTCTGCTTGTAATATCTTATTTCTGTCTAACATACTCTGGTTTTTCGATTTTTTAATGGACTTCTGGTCTTGACAATGACTCCAAGAATTTCTTGCATGATAGTAGGTATGAAAAAATGGACCACCCATAGCACCCTATTGTCCCTTCACTTCTTGAAAGAGTCAGGATTAATATTGCAGTATCATTTATATCTTAGTAGACATCTAATTCAAATTGATGGATTCAATAGTTGTCTCTGTTCTTTGTAATTAAATGTGATGCACAATTAGCTCTGAATGCAGAGCAGGAAACAAAAAAATTAGACGTAATTGTGTTTCATTTAGATGTATTTGATTGCATAAGTGTCTATCATTGTCAATGCTACTGGAATTACATTTTTATATAGGGAAAGTTCCCGAAATAGGACTAAAAAAGTTTGAAAATTCCAAAATAGGACTGCAATGTTTTTATTCCCAAAATAAGAGTAATTACTGCCAAGTTTGAAAAATAATGTCATGTTTGAAGTGTGGTACTGCCAAAACATGACAGTAATTAGTCCTATTTCGGGAATAAAAACATGAAAGTCCTATTTTGGAATTTTGAAACTTTTTTAGTCCTATTTCGTGTAATATTCTCTTTTTTTATATACAAGAGTACAAGATTGTCTGCTGTGCAGTCCTATTATACATGCATATGCAGTAAGATAAGTTTGATGATGTTTGGCGTTTTACAGTTTTTTCTAAAATATAAAAATGCTTGATAAATCTGACATAGATTTATGTTTTTTATTTTTTGTTAATCATGAAAGTATATATGTAGTAATTTTTATGCAGAATCTAAAAGTCCATAGTAAATACTGGAAACGTGTTCAGAAACAATGAAATAAAAAAGCAAGTTATCAATAGTTTTTCAAACCCTGTTTTTGTTTCCAAATAAGCCAAACACTGCTGCCGAACTTTTTTTTGTTTCTATTTTCACTTGTGTGAAGAAAAACTTTACCATTCGAACTTTTATCTTTCCATGTCCTTAGATATTTCTTCTGCTATTTGACTCAGTTACTGGTATAATTGTGATACAAATGACTGGAGCACTGTGTACAAACACACAATTGGAAAAGACTACAAATTGAAAGCAGGTTATGATTCGGAGGTGCGACTTGGATGGGCATCTATATGGGTATGTATTCCTACACTAGTTCACCTCTATTTTTAAACTGAAAATATAGCTTAAGGTTCGTTGACTTGCATGTTCTATTGTTCTATCATATTTTTTATTTTTCTTACTAAGGCTATTCTTGGGGCACAAAAAATGGTCAGGAAAGCAGATTCTAAGGAAAAAGTTTCTTAATGTTTGGTTGTACCTTGGAAAACAAGGAGAATCAAATTTGATTGCAACTTTTTAGAATTTCGAGCTCATATAGAAGAGTTTGAACAAATATCTATTCTTGATTTATTGTGTTATTTCCCCCCTAATCTTCTTTCTTTCCAAGTATACGTTCTACTTTCCTCCCTGTTTCCTTTCTGTAGCAGTGTATAAGTTCCAAGTGGACCGTAGCTGTATTAGAAAACCAATGTGCAAGTTTTCATCTGTCTAGTAGAAAAAGGGGATGCCTTGCAGTTTTTTCCTTGGACATGAATACATAGTGTAGTATATTTAACATTACCCAAACATTGCCTTGTGCATACATACTGATGTACCACAAGTTGTCTTGGTACAGGTTGGAAATGAAAGCGGGAAAGTAAAGTCGGTGCCTTTGAAAATGAAAGTCCAATTTATGCTTCAAGTACCACAAGATGATGTTAAATCATCCGCCCTGATGTTCCGTGTGAAGAAGAGATGGGACGTATGATTCATTATAGGGTGTTTCTGGAAAACTAAGGGAACAGTGTGACAGTGTCTGTAATGTGTCTCTGTTATGTTCCTTTTAAGAATTTTAATGTATAGAGTTAGATACTTCTATAAATCTATGAATAGTTATAAGTCTCAATTCTTTTTTTAAATTTAGTACTTCCGATCACTCATTCGGTCAATTTCCGGAGAACTTTTTTATTTGTTGCTGAAGGAACAAAAGTAACAAAGATGAGAAATTCAAAGTGATGACTCATGAGGGAAAAGTTGCCCAAAAAAGCGTTCAAGATTTCACGACCTATTGCCCACGCAATAATATTGCATCCGTATCTGTTACAGCTGGGAGCGGTTTAATAAATATTGCAAACTTAGGGGTGTTTGGAACTGATTCTGCTCCTGCTTTAAAAGAAGCAGAATCAGAATCTTCAGAAGCTGGTCACCCCTAACTTCTGAAAAAACTGATTCTAGGAGTAAAAAATGAGCACCAGAATCACTTATGCACTTTCATCCAAACACTCCAGCTTCTGTTTCTGCTCATTCAGGGAGCAGAAGCAGTTTTAAGAATCAGATCCAAACAACCCCTTATTCGAACACTTCAAAGAATCATTGATATTAATTGTAAGTATTGTAGCAATTTGGTTCTTAAGAACCAGTATTGTAAAAGAATTGCTCATAAGTTGATTTATTTGCTAAGGAACAACTGAGAGCCAAATTGTCACTTAATTAATTGATGTGGGTGATATGCTTATTAAGTGAAACTTTAAGCACTTATTTGAATTAATAAGCAGCTTTTTAAGCAGCAATGTGTTTACTTCACCAGTTTTAATAAACTAATAATGATTCCAGAAGGTGCATTTTTCATTTTTTTACCGGTCATTTCAACCCAACACTACTTTTTTCAGAAAAGGGGCAAATAAACCCACGTACTAACAGAAAAATGTCAAATACACCATTATTTAGGAGGCTCTGTCCGGCCGTCGCCATTTGGGCATCTTATTCATTAAGTCTAGTTTACTCATACCAAATTTCAGCTAAAACTTCAATCGGGAAAACATTCAAATGAATTCTTGAAGACAATTGCGCAATTATTTTCAAGAATTCATTTGAATGCCTTCTATATTGAAGTTTTAACTGAAAATATGCTAGGAAAATGTTACTACGTAACCACTAAGTAACATCAACAACTAGCCAAGAAAACCAAGTATACAATACATGATTTGTAAGAATGTCTTGTTCCAATATTTGTCTTGGTCAGTTAGTTACAAGACTTATAACAATACAAATGAATTTTTTTCTTTTAGAAATCACGCAAGAAATCATGCAAGAAAAAGGTAGGTGTCATGCAAGAAAATCTGCTATATCCTAGTCTCATCCCGTTTTCTCCACACACTTATGGCTTCCTAAAACGGACAACCCAAAATAGTGGGTGGACAGAAATAACGTGCTTGCATGGCCTCCTCAATACTATCATCATATTTATTTATAGCTGAGATCAACGGGGAAAACTTTTATGGAATGAAGAATTAGCAAAACCATAAGAGGTCGGTTGTATCCAAACGTGAAGAGTGAAAAGAATATAAAGCCACTATACAAACGTGGTGGTGAAGACGCGCAGCAGCTAAAGCAACGAGAGTACATATCTTCCTCTCCTTGTCTCTTCCCCATGGGGATGAGGTATTGAACAGATACAAACTAAAAACGAAAACTACAGCATGAAATGGATCCTCTACAGTTTGCCATATCTTTAGGACATAGTGTTCCCTAATATATATATATTTTCTCTTCTAAACCCATCATCCCGTCCATCCATTCCAAGTAAGACCGGCATCATAAAAGGCCAAGTCCATTCCAAGTAAAACGGGCACCCATCATCATTATACTAAGGTCCGGTCCAGTCATTCATCATCACATCACACCACCGTGTCTGTCAGCGAATCAGATGGTACTGTGTAATTCCGCGCTTTGGAGGCAACTTTCTCAAAATGAAAAGCACAAGGGAAGACGGTAGTATCTCCACCAACTGCAAACACCAGGTTCACACATAACCAATTCGTTACATTTTCGTTAGTTGTGATTAAAAGTTTTCATTACAAGGAGTTCACATTTTCGTTATATATAATGAAAAGGAGAACTTGTAATGAGAACTTTTAATCACAAACTTTCATTTTATTCAAAACTAAAACAGGTCATTTTGTAATTAGTACTACGTATAAAATTATTAAAAAAATGCCACCTTGTTGATTCTAACCATTGATTTGATATATCAATGGTGGAGGTTAAAAGTTCTCACTTATAAATGAGTTCTCATTTTAAAAAGGGTTCTCATTAGAACACTCCTCATATATATATAGACTCACCCCTGAATGAAGATGGTACACTAATTTAGCATCGGGTGATAAAAGAACATCAACATAATTGCTCTGTTCTCTGATTAAAATTAATTACCAGTACACTTACCAGGTAGTATGCTAAATTTAAAATTGGGTGATCTAAAACATCTAGATCCGCTGCTTCATCAAATGCATCAAAGCAAGTCTGCAACAAAGTCAGGAAAATAAGAGAAGGCATCTACAACCAGGCATGATAACAATAATTTAAGCACTGCACGTATTAGCTAAGGTACTCAACATTTGTGTTCTAGGCCCTGGTCTCTAAGACTGGACCAAGAGCAGAGGCCAGGACCAGCTACATAAACGGTTTCAGTTTGATTCACATTTTTTGGGATCCGGCACTGTACCAATACCTCCAATACATGTAATGTTTTTAGAAAGAACTCTGGACGTACTTGTCCCGATACCGGAACCAAACTTTTTTTAGAATTAAGTATGGAAAGATTATAAGTGTACATTGTATCTAGGCAATCCTATTTGAAATCCTATTTGGCATACATTCATTGGAATATGATAAAATCTCTAAAATTTCATCATCCAATGAATTTGTGCCATTTCGGAACGTTTCCATAAAATGTACTCCTAGACCTTCCCTCTTATTTAAGGTTTCAGTCCTTCCATCTTAAATGCTGAACCCGGGATTCACTGCATCCCATTCCAAGGTAAAAATCTCATCTAAACATGTGCTTATGAGTTATAATAAAAGAGTTTAGTGTGCTCCATTTTCAAGTTGCAACCAAATTCAAGTAGATAATTTCAAAACTTTAAGAATAATAATAAAAACTTAAATAATGAACTGACATTATTACCATTCAGATATATAGAGATGTTACGATTGTCGAGGATACTTTAGGATAACTATAAACATAAAATACTCATTGATGTTTCTTATGAAGTGCCCATGGGCATAATTTAGATTTTAGAAACTCCATACTAAAATCTAAATCAATCCTTTTCATTTCTACTTGTTCATTACTCCGTACTACATATCATTTATATCATTCGAACACACATACACATTCACCAAAAGGGTGAACCAAACTCCTATACCACCCATAGATAGTGTTGACTGACAGAAGTTGCGATTTTCTTTATAACACATTCAATTTACTAGAAAAAAGGGTGCACTTTAATAGACACCACCCAACATAAATCCAAGACAAATGGTCTCTAGAGCTGCTCTAATCTCCATGGATTGATCAAGGCTGGCCTAGTGTAACTTCACAACCCCCTTAGAAAACGTGACACATAATACACTTCTATGCCTCCCCATCAAACTAAGCACCATATATTCTTAACAAGTTACATTCTACATAAGGCTCCCTTATAATATAAATGGCAAGATGTGACTTGATAACTTGAAATTAGAACTTGGGAATTCGGTTAGTACTCCCTTGAAATGGAGACCTTGAACTTCAAACTTGATTACTTGAAACATGGTAAGATTTGAAACTTCTGCTGGTTTAAATTTAAATCCTCCTCGATCTTTTACGTTCAAATTCAAATTTGGCACAAACAAAAGCGAACTAGAACTTGATATTTTAACTTTTATATGGAATATTGAGACTTGCCATTCATTATTAAATTTAAATTGAAATGTAAACTCAACTTTGTACTCCCTCCCGACCCTCCGTCCCATACAAATTGGTCAAAGTTGAATAATAAAGTAAAAACTATGTGGTTCATGTTTGTACAGAAGAGAGAGAAATAATATTTACTGTAAGTAAAAATGACAAAGTTTTTTGGGACAGCCAAAAAAGGAAAGTTGGCCAAGTTTTATGGGACGGAGGTAGTATAATTTTAGAAAATTACTTTTTTAGAAATGATATACGAAGTATATTGCATAACATATTTAAAAATAATATTATTTTCTCGAATTAAAAATAGAAAGAAATGGGAAAATGTGAAAAAGAAATACTACCTCCGTCCCACTAACATTGGGACATGAAGAAGTGGTGCGATTATTAAGAAAAGTATATTTATTTGGTTGATAAAGTAAGAATAAAACAAACTTTATCAAAATTGGTATGAGGCAATCTTAGTAGAACGGACCGAAAAGTAAAGATGGGACAATCTTAGTAGTACGGAGGGAGTAAATTTTTTGAAAAAAGTTGAAGTTTAGTTTTTTTATGTTAGAAAATAGGTCAAATTTGTAAATTCGATGATTGTTGAGGATATATATTAAGCCAATAACCATAAATTAGGCAAGATAAAAAAACTCTAGGACCAGACTAAATCAGACCTGAACTTTAAAAGTTTAGATCACATCACATTTTTTCATTCGATGGAATAGATGTGCATGACAATGTTTCCGTGCATACACTATTCTTAGGTAAAGTTTGGGTTGATCAAAATATCAGTATATCACATGACAAAAGCATGGAGATTCAAATATGTAAATACTGGAGCTATTAATTTAGCCAAATAGATACGATACTCACCATTATGCATCTAATGAGGAAGCATGAAAAGCAAATCGTAGTTACATAGCCAACCTGCGTCAGTGAAAAAATTTAATGACCATTACTAAATCTATAACAAGATCTTGTAACTAAGCCGCAAGAGTCAGCTGAAAAATATGGATTACATGGCTGGTAGGTGCATTAAATGTAAGCTGTTTAGTGGCAAGATCAGAATCAAAATGCCCTACCATGAAACTTTTAAAAATCTTTTGAGCAAAATGCTGCTCTTTCTTCAATTTATTCTTTTCAATGCTACACAAGGCAATTTACTATGACATACCCTAATAGGTATGTCTACCATCCTAATATCATCGTCCCGTGTGTTCTTCTTCATCGGTCCCAATGATGTTGTGGTGCAAATTGATTCATACTTTATTTGTACTTTACAAATTCAATATAACTCACTCCTTAATAACCGTGCCATTTCCTCATGATGTAATCATAGTGGGATGGAGGTAGTATATTAAAGTGAGAGATGATATAATACCTCCTGTAGCTTCTTTTGTCTTCCTTTTGATTCCACAGGGAACCGCTGCAACATCAGAAAAAGCCTGGAGCAAGGTAGGGAATAATGAAAATGAGTTGTAAAGGAAGTGAACAAGTATGAATGCATGTGTGAAGTCGTTACCACTTAATTTTACATATAATTTATCTCTAAGTAATGACAAAAATTAATTTATTAAATCAAGGTCACAATACGTTGAAAATGTAAAATTTACCTAGACATGAATAGTTAATCTATTTATATTAATAATCGAATATAAGAAATGCTAAATATAAAAAAGATGTTGACAATTAATCGTTCATCTCATTCAAATATAAATATTACCCAGACCAGCCCCATTGTATGGGAGGGGCGGATCCGCCCCATTTGCAAGACAGGGGGGCAGACCCGCCCCAAATGTCTCAGGGCAGGGCGGGTCCTTGCAGGCTGGGTTTTTATGGCATGCCTACACCCCATATAATTCAATGCCAAATCCTCATGGATTTTGCTTAGAAAGATTTTATGCTATTAGTCTTGCATATTTTGTAACTTTTGCTTGTAGCAGAACAGGAATACTTCAGGAAATGTGATGTCAATATTTTGTAGAAACGGCTATACTGAAGATAAATTCACTTTGCACATAAGAATGCCCCTCACTATCAAGAAAAATTCTTGCACACAGACACAAATTGAAACAGATAACTTCTAAAAAAGATCAGATCTGAATTTTAGTTAGCAGTAAATTACTCTTCTGTTACAAGGATATCTAGAAAATTAGCAAACTGTGTAGGTCGTACAACTGTCTGCATATTTCATGCATAACTGTCACAATCACTAGAGAGTTTTTTAAGTAAGCTCAAGCATTTGAATCAATAGTAAGAAAGGAAAAAGAAAATCTACCTTCCACCATAAAGTAAAAACCCCAGGGCCGCAAATAAGGAAACGCCTGCAATTTAGATGTTTTAGTACATCAGAGTATTCACAAATCATACAACTAATATGAGAAAATACATAAGATGAACCTGCAAAGAACATCTTAGACAAAATGACCAAAAGCGGAGCAGGCTTCCACCATAAAATTAACCACAAGAGCACCTACAAGATATTAAAGAGAGACTTTATCAACAAACATATACCGGTTAGGCAGTCATATGCATAGTCAAAAATAAAAAATAAATAAATACATGTAAATGTACTTGCATTTTATTTTCATCCAATACTGAATCAGATGTTGAAGGTACAATTTTGAAATTGAACTACCATGTAAGCGAGAAATACTGAAATGAATGTAGAAAGCTAAAAATATTGCCAAATGTCACTTTGCTATTAGAAGGCTATCAGGATAGGTATCAAAATAACAGTGATGACAAGAGTGAAGATTGGCAGGCTTATATTAAAAAGTTGATGCACTCATGCAAGCTATACAATAGAGTTCTTTAAAAATATTTTGACAATTTAGATTGTGAGATATTCTAGGTTCTCGGTTGAGAAACGCATTTCCAATTTTCCATAGAAATTACTTGAAGTACACATTTAAACAACCATAACAGTGTAATACCAGTCCTATATTGCAGAGACACAGAAAAGTCTTGAATTCAATTGGCAAATATCTTATTGGACAAAGTGGCTCATCACATTGGAAACAGTTAATGTTATTGCCTAAACATTAAACCCCGTTTCTTCTTTACCACACACTAATTTTGTACTTTGCACAGTGAATTGTAAGTTCATAACTTACCGTATCCTTTAGTATCCTGCAGCAGGATATGAAATTATCATAAATGTCAAATAGAGTCTATTTATATACTTACACAAGATTCATGCATGTACAACATGTACAACTCTAGTCCGAATACAAGTTAACATAAAAATAATACCCCCCATTCATCTTAAAGACTTAAACTATCTAAGTTGATTGATTTTCTCATTCTTTTTCATTGGTCCAATTATAATATCTATGCAAAACAAATATCTATTTCCCAATTTACCCTTCTTATCTTGGTTGTTAAGATCACGTGTTGGATTATAAGATCACACAGTATTACTATTGGAGAAGGGGTACGCGATTACATCACTCCTCAAATCAGATAAACTGGCCGACAAATAGGATCGCCATGCTGGATCATTGGATCGCCACGCCAATTTGATCTAGGAATATGTGAATCAGATGAACTGGATTGGGATTTGGGATGGGATGGATCACGGCTCATCACCCCAGATTCAAGAAACATATAATGGGGCTTTTGAACTTACAATGCGTCAAACATCCAAACATCAAACCATTTCAGCTTTCACACTTCTACGCTTTTGATATCAATCATCTCTCTATTCTCTTCAATCTACTTTTATGAGTTCTTTTTAGTCAGTAAAAGACAACTACGCTTCTATGACCTAGCAAGTTTTCAATCTACTATTCTTTTCCTCAGATATCTACATAATAGGGTATACGTAAATATACTACTCCATTATACTCATTTCTTCTACGTTTCCATGAAGTTTTATACAGAGTAATTAGTTATTCCTCTTTTTATGTGGTGCATTCTTTATGTTTTTTAATCTAATAGTTTGATTAGGTGTTTATGCATTTGCATTTTCATAAAAGTATAAAACTTATAACTTTCACAAAAATATATTAATCAAAATCATTAGCCATATTTTAGCACCATTGAACAAGACACTCAAAGATGACAAAGTTTCAAGGGGGGAAGGTAGTATAACTTAGGAGTAGATCTTCCACCCCTCCATCTCCTCCCAATCCTAACCAGCATCACGACCTAAACAACCTTGCTTCTTACACTTTTCAATATACCCTATTCAATGGGAACATAAATGGTAGGTGGCTTTTAAAGAGGGCATTTTATATGTCAATTTTACCTGGTATCATTGTCTATGATCAAGAAATACTGCTAATAAGTAATAATTGAAGTGGCAGTGAGTGATTACCTGGATGGCATAAACGACACCATTAATTGTGAAAAAAGTAGGCCTGAGTCCGTCAGTAGGTACAGTTCGTGCCTGAAAAGAAAAATGCTCAGATTATGCACTACAAATATGAACAATAAGCAGTAAGATTCAAATATTAGACTAACCTGGTAGTATATTTCAGCCCAGAACAACACCAACAATGCATAGGTTGTGAAGAAGGCAAGACTTGGCATATCCAGCAAAACATGTTGCATTATCTATCATGGAAGGAAACGGAAGTCAGAAGTTGTAGGAAATTCATTTTTAACAATGAATCCTAAATCAAGCGTGTCTAACCTCGGGATGGAACTTTTGTATGTTCCGACGGAAAGCGAAGACCAAAGAACGAACTGCCAAAGTAAAAGTTATACTATATTCAAAGAGAAGTGCCACATTAAATCTAAACCCTCAATACAAGATCCAACCATATTAAGCATGGGAGTACAGAAAGTTAAAAAAAAAACACAGGCAATACAAGAGTAAGTTATTGCCTAATAACTAATAGGGAATGTCAAATAAAATTAACAACAGAGTAATAGGAAATACAGACCCCCATTCACCAAGAAATTAAGAAAATGGAAGACTTTCTGAGTGGTCCAACCATACTCGGGTACTCTCATCTGAATACGAACTAGTTGTACCTAAAATGTCAAACTACATGTATTAAGCAGCATTCGTATCCATAACCTCATAAAACATGTTGAAGAATAACATTGTTCAACAAAGAAACAAATAATTAAAAAAAAAAAATTTATGTGGCACGGGTGTGAAATTTGACAATGTAATTTTTTACTCCCTCCGGTTCTAAATTATCTTTAGACTTTCCTTTTTGGGCCGTCCCATATTAGACTTTACACTTCCTTATTTGCCTTATTTGGCAAACAAATCTACACAAAACAGTGTCAAACAGTGTCAAACAGTGCGGTCCATAGGACAGTGGTACTTTGTAACTTGAGCACTTAGTTGTTGGTTATTTTGGACCATTACCTAGCTACTTAAAGGACCAAAATAGTGGAAATGAATAAGGAATACATTATCCATATTGAAGGATCAGAATATTCACCAAGGAAGTTAGGAAAATTAAGGACACAACTTTGCTCGTTCTGTTAAAAAAAGTAGTGCAAGTGGAACTAACAGATAAGTTCAGAGATCTACACGGCCTACAAAATGGTTTCCAAAAAGCAAGCATTCAAGTTGAACAATAAACCAGAAGCAAAAAGCGTTGCTTTAACAGCTCAATTAAATTTCTAATAATATATTACAGTACAATGTTATCTCCCATAAAGAAATACTCCGTATAGAATTTCTATAAAGGTATAAAGTGATAAAGTGATATAATACAACCAGCAATAAGTAATTAGAAGAAAACATAATCAATGCTCTATCGGCCACATCCATTTGGGTAGCAATTTGGTCTAAACTTTGTAGCTTCCCGGAATCTCTCTCAAATTTTGGAATAACTATTCAGTTTTATTACCATCACAGTTTCATTGAATTGGATTAACCGCCTTTCACCACAATCGTCAAAAATCCAACTTTACAACAGACACATAACCCTAGCCAACCCAACCGGATATCTCAATATAACAAACAATACCTCCAACTAACGAAACAATATCTTGAATACATAGCATAAAAAATTGCTGAAAGAATGCCGAAATCGATTAAGCGGTGAATCACATACAAGAGCAACGGCGGCGACAATTCCGTAGAGAATAGCGAGAATGTGGAAAATACGGTCTTGCCAGAGAGGAGACTCATTGACGCGGTCCCACCAGCTTATGGCGTCTTTGAGTTGGAACGCCACGAGCGCCGACGGGCTCAACGCCATTCCTGCCCGCCCCATCGCCGATGCAACCCCAACGACGATCAGATTCTTTATCCTCCCGGGTGTTTTCAGCCTTTTTGTTCCTCTAAAACGGCCGGCGATAAGGTCCGTATAGAAATTTGGAATGGATCGCCGATAGAGCTATATAGGGAAGCTCAATTCTCTGCGTCTCGGACCACTGCAACGGGGTGGGTTCCGGGTTTGTACAAGTACTGCAAGGGGTATTTTGGTCCGTATGGTACAAGTAGTTATTCATTTGATGTGGTTGTAGGGTCGAGATGCGAGTGCAGTGAGGATTAAGCTACACGTGGGATGAGGATATGGTGGGCCCGATTTTTCTACGATGGGCGGTGCGCGGCATCCTGGATTGCGGTTATGTCACGTGCGTACCTTCCCGACTCCTCTTAGGATAAAAAATAAATAAACCTAAATAAAAACTTTCTCCAATATACCAACCAAAATCATTTCTCTTGGTAAAACCGAACCTAATCCACTAATTTTATCCATCAATTTTTCAATAAATGCGTTATTTTTGTGTGTCCAATTCTGTAGTAATAAGTAAAGTTAGAGTTATTTTCTGAGAGAATGATTCAAGTTATTGTACAAAATGAGTTTAATTAATACGTAGTATTTCATACCCCCTCTGTCCCATTGTATTTTGCAAACTTTTCTTTTTTTGTTGTCCCAAAAATTTTGTGATTCTATACATTTCTCTCTCCTTTGCACAAGTTTCAACCACACAGTTTTACTATTCTTATTTCTCACTTACTTTGCACTTGACAAAGTCCACCGGGACGAAGGTAGTATAACTTTTTTGTTATTTTATTAATAAAAATATATTATTTATATAATTTAACAGATTCAGTTCATTCAATCGCTTTCATTGGAATATCATTAATTAAAGCAGATTCGATCAATATCAATTCCAGTGTTATAAACTGACTCTAAGTTTTTAAAAGGTATTGAGAGGTTTCACACATCGAAATTAACATTATTGTCATAATTTATCACTATTGTCACTGATGATAAAAATTTATCATATTTTTAACCCCCTCCCTTCCTCATCTTTGATCCATACGCTTCTCTTGTCGTTTTTTCATCTTCCATACGCTTCTCTCATCCATTCTTTCACCTTTCATCTTATTTTCTTCTCCTTTCTTTCATAATCACCTTCCATATCCATTATCTCCATCTTTACCGTTACATCTTATTCATTTTCATTCATCGTCATCTTTCATCTTCATCCCCTTCCATCTTCACCCCATCTTCCATCTTACCTACTTCATCATCGCTAGAGCTAGAGTCACTTGAAAATGTTATCGGGGAAAACAAATGTAGTTTGAGAATAGTCACTGGAAAATCGCCGGAAAGTCATTGGAAAACCACAGATGAGTATCTGTCGGGATTTTTGTCTGTATCAATTGTAAAATATTGTATGTGTTATACAAAATACTGATATAATCTGTTTGTAATATGAAATGAAACTACAAAACTAGTAAATTTTGTAAACTTGCGCCACAGACGAAAAATGTCTATATAAAGACAAACTTAAGTTGTTTGTGTACACATACAAACATGTAGGGGTGGGTACAAACATCTTTTGTTTGTATACAAGCAACTAATGCCAGTATACAAACATTGATTTGCATCTAAATCACATTGATTTGTGTACTTTTTTGCAGAATTGACAGATTTAGGTTGCATGACAATCAATGTTTGTGTACACAAACATTGGTTGTCTGTGTATAGACAAAAAAATGTTTGTATGTATTCATTTTTTATTTGTGTACATAGACATTGGTTTCCATCCAACCTAACCCTGAATTTTCTACTACAGTTTATGTTTGTTGGTACACAAACACTGAAAGACAACCAGTGTTTGTATACATACTCTTTTGTTTGTGGCGAAGTTTTATAAAATGTTATTGGTTTTTGAGTTTGTAACACCGTCCCCAAATATATTTACTTTTACGTAAATAATGTATTGAACCTTATTAAATGATTTGTGGAATTTACGAAGTTGTAAATTTTTAGTATTTCGTTCGCGTGAATAGTAAATTGCATGTGGGACCCACACCGGGAGCGGAGGCCGCCCGACACTCCCGAGACCACATATTTTATTCATCTTGGTCAAGATAATATTTATATAGTGGTGAGTATTTTATTTGGGTCGTGGAAAGACGCAGAGTTGACCGATTGGGAAAAAGAGGCCCGATTACCGGTACCGACAATTTAACAGATAACAGCCCGGAAATGATTTTCGAAGACTTCTAAATTAATGTTTTGGGATATATATTATTTCAAGAGGCCATTACGATATGGAACACGCAATATATTTTATTCGACCCGATAAAATAAAATATATTTAAAACAGTCCGAAAAATACAACTTTCGGGACCGATTGTACACATCGGGACACAAAGGGATGACCTCCCACATGAGTGGGGGCCACCCCACGAATTTGTCAACCCTTGGGGGCTGGATGAGTGCTAGATGGGCTGAATAACAATTGATAGGATGGGGGAGACACCCTTTGACATTTAGTAGACCCCATTCCTTCACTCATTTGTCCAAATGAAACAAAAACCACACCTCTCACCTCACCACTCTCATCCACTCGTAGAAACACCCTAGGATAGCAAGGAGGAGCTCTGCAAACCACCATTTTCACACCCAAATTCGAGCTCAAGGAAGGAGGTACAAAGAGGAGTGTTTGGAGAAGGAAAAAGGTGTAGGAAAGTGTGGAAATTGAGGTAATCACCTTGTCATAGCTTTCCCTTTATTTTTCTTCTACCATATGAGATATATATCATGTGAAGAATCCTTAAGAGGGTTCTACATGTTATAAGTATGGATTAATGGGTTGGAAAGTGATTCTATGTCCAAGAACGGACTTAGAAGCCAAAACGACCGGTTCACCGGAAAATAACCTTTTATAGGTTATTTGTATTGATTAAGGTTTTATGATGTTAAAACCTTGTTAGGCACTTGTAAAGGGTATTTCAAGTGATTTCACAAAGTTGGAAAAGTCGCCGGAATTTGTCGCCGGAGTTGACCAAAAGTCGCCGGAGTTTCACCGGAGTTCAACCAAGAAGGGTAGAACTTCATACGCTCGTTCAAGGTGAGTGGACGGCTTAATATCTTATAACTTTTGGGTTAATTATGAGATTACCTAAATAAATGTTATATGTGTTCATAATGATGTTTAAAAGATATTTAAACATGTGATTAGCCAACATTATTAAGTTGCATGAAATGAATTAATTGTTTATACATGAAATATGATATGAGGAATTATATAAAATGCATATTAGTTTGAAGTGTAAAAGAAGCACAAATGAGTATTATTAACTTAATTACATGATGATTTAGTTAATAAGTGTAAGATTTGAGATGGCGGTCAACAACAACGTTGACCAATGGATAATGGATTAATTAATATCGATTGGTATTAATTAATTATACATTTACATAATTGCATGGCTTTGCATGGAATGTGATACATAAGTTTTATGTATTGAATTAGTTATGAATGATTAAATATGATATAGACCCTATCTAGTGTGATATGTGGTAAGTCATAGGTCGGGTGGAGTACCCAAGGATCGGGCGGTTATCCTCAAAACTCGGTTATATAGGGTGGAGTACCCAAGGATCGGGCGGTTATCCTCAAAACTCGGTTATATAGGGTGGAGTACCCAAGGATCGGGCGGTTATCCTCAAAACTCGGTTAAAGGGTGGAGTACCCAAGGATCGGGTGTGTATCCTCAAAACTCATAGATTACATTTAATGATCTAGGACCGGGCGGTGTCCTTATGATAATTTACTTGAACAAGGAGGAGTTCTATACACTCATAGGCATATGGGTGGGTTGGAATTTAAGTCAAGGATATTGGCTACTATTATTTTCCCAAATAAACAATGACCTACGGGTCGGGTATTTCGAAGTGTATGTATACTAATATGTATTTCGAACTTGGGGAAAGGACTATACGTATATGTATCACCCTATGATTGGGTCTTATACTTGAAACGCTAGTTATTCTATATTTAGCCTGCTACTCGCTCGGTACTTGTACTGACCCCTTCGGGGGGCCCCACCATTTTCAGGTTGAAGCTAGGGCTTGCTACCTGCACCTTCTCAAGGGTGGTATCAAATCAGGAAGACGTGGTTCGTGCTTCCTTAATTTCTCTCAAACTACCGCACACTTGCTCATGGATGTTTATTTTACTATAAACTATTTTTGGGGCTTGCATGCCCATGTGGTTGGCCGGTTGTGGCTCATGACTTACCGTTGAATATTTCCGCTATTCATTGGTCTAAACGTGATGTTGTTATGTATGTTTACTACTGAGTATGGATGGATTGTTTTCTCGAACGCCTTGTGTAATTAAGTGAGGTTGACTCGTGGGTGACGTCACTTAGTTATACGGCGGTTGTACACACGTTTGGATTGCGGTCTGGGGCGTGACAGAGTTTCATCTTTCCTACAGACAATACATATCATTATTCAGCAACAATACATACAATATTTTATATGCCACACAAACAAAAATACCGACGACCATTCATCTCTAATTTCCCGATGAAATTCCGGTGACTATTTCGGGTAATTGTCAAACATCAATTTTTTCCCAGTGCATTAATAAAGTAAAAGTGAAGATGATGATGAAAAATGATGATGAAGATGGAGTATGAATACAAGGTGAAAGGAAATAAGAAGGAGACGGGGAATAAGGAGGAGGAGGAGGAGGAGGGTACCTATATAAGATAGGTGCAATATAAGATGGGTGCAACCTAAAGTGTACCTATAGCATGCGTGTTGAAACAAATATGAGACTACTCCTAACTTTTGAAAATCAAATGATTCCGAACTAGACCAATTTTTATTAATATATTTGGATTATTTATATGTATGTCACTCCTTTACAATTTAATTCAATATTTTTATATTTTTTTCAATCCAACCATAACTAGATTTCTCAATGTCCATACTCCATATCTCTAGCCCGACTTTTCAATGATTAGATCAATTATGTAGTGTCTTAAATTTTGAAAAGGTATGACAACTACTTTGTAACATATTTTTCTCATGTGTAACTTATTATTTCAAAAGATGTGTATGGCGTAGATGAGTGTTGGAGGTGTGGACGTACTAGAAAAG